CCGCCCACCACCGATCGTGTCGAGAGAGAATGTGGGCGGCCGCCATGACAGGAACTCGATGCAGATGGGCGTGGGTGGGCGTGTGGGCGTGTTTTGGCGAAAGGCGTCCATCAGAAGCGAAGAAACTGTTAATGACGTTGTTTATATGTTCTCGAGGCGTTCCGTTGTTGCAAAAAGAGGATGAGTTTCTGCAACGGTGCAATCATAGATTTTTTTTTTATTATTATTGACATAGTTATTGTTGTTGTTGTTGTGATTATTACCATTGATATTATTGTTGCAATAAATAAATTTTTTTTCTTCATCCTTGACATAGTTACTATTGTTGTTGTGGTTATTATCACTAATATTATTGTTGCTTTTACTTTTATTATTGTTATGGTTATCATTATCGTCATTATCATTATCATTCAATCATACACAATTTTTTTTTTATCATTAACATAGTTATTGTTCTTGTTGTTGTGATTATTATGTTGTTGATATTATTGTTGTTATTACAATTATTATTGTTGTTTTTGTCATAATTGTCATTATCGTCATTATCATTATCATTCAATCATGCACATTTTTTTCATCATTATCATTATTATTGTTCTTATTAGATGACTGCTGTTGCTATTTTAATTGTGATTTATGTCATTATAATTATCATTATCTTTATTATCCAATCATACAAACGTATTTTAAATCACTGCTGTTGTAGTTATTACCCTAATATTATTACTATCGTTATTATTCTTATCATCATGACATATTGTTATAGCTGTTATCATTATTATCAATATTGTCATTATCATTATTATCATTATTATCAAATATTGTCATTATCATTATTATCATTATTATCAATCTGCCTTATATAATGATTTTATATGAATATGAATACAAGAGTCGTCAGGAGTATATGAAGATTTTTCAAAATCTAAAAAAAATAATGTGACATAAGAAAATATATAGAGAGGAATCATGAACATATCCGAACACATTAAAAAAATAAAAATAAAAAATAAATAAAAAATAAAATTAAAAAAACGTATCCACCATCTTTCGAACAAACCCAACCTCCTCCACCCCTTTTTTTCTCTACTTTTTCACAACTTTCCCCACTGACGCAGACATCCAGAGAACCTCCTGCCCCGCCTACGTACACCCTCAGGAGCCCTCTGCCCATTGAGACCAGGAAGATGCCCTCAGGAAGATGCCCTCATGCCTGATGGGAAGATGCCCCCAGGAAGATGCAGGAAGATGCCCTCAGGAAGATGCCCCAGGAAGATGCCCCCAGGAAGATGCCTTCCCGCCCCTTCAGGAAGTGCCCTCATGCCCTCAGGAGATGCCCTCAGGAAGATGCCCCAGGAAGATGCCCCAGGAAGATGTCCCAGGAAGATGCCCTCAGGAAGATGCCCTGCCAGCCCTCAGGAAGATGCCCAGGAAGATGCCCCAGGAAGATGCCCAGGAAGATGCCCTCAGGAAGAGCCCCAGCCCTCAGGAAGATGCCCTCAGGAAGATGCCTTCAGGAAGATGCCCCAGGAAGATACCCTCAGGAAGATGCCTTCAGGAAGATGCCCTCAGGAAGATGCCCTCAGGAAGATGCCCTCAGGAAGATGCCCTCAGGAAGATGCCCTCAGGAAGATGCCCCCAGGAAGATGCCCTCAGGAAGATGCCCCCAGGAAGATGCCCCTCAGGAAGATACCCTCAGGAAGATGCCTTCAGGAAGATGCCTCAGGAAATACCCTCAGGAAGATGCCTTCAGGAAGATGCCCTCAGGAAGATGCCCTCAGGAAGATGCCCTCAGGAAGATGCCCTCAGGAAAGATGCCCCCAGGAGATACCCTCAGGAAGATGCCTTCAGGATCAGGAAGATACCCTCAGGAGATGCCTTCAGGAAGATGCCCAGGAAGATGCCCTCAGGAAGATGCCCTCAGGAAGATGCCCCCAGGAAGATGCCCTCAGGAAGATGCCCTCAGGAAGATGCCCTCAGGAAGATGCCTCAGGAAGATGCCCTCAGGAAGATGCCCTCAGCCCATGCCCAGGAAGATGCCCCAGGAAGATGCCCCAGGAAGATGCCCCAGGAAGATGCCCCCAGGAAAGATGCCCTCAGGAAGATGCCCTTCAGGAAGATGCCCTCCCCGGAAGATGCCTCAGGAAGATGCCCTCAGGAAGATGCCGAAGATGCCTCAGGAAGATGCCCAGGAAGATGCAGGAAGATGCCCTCAGGAAGATGCCCCCAGGAAGATGCCCCCAGGAAGAAGATGCCCCCTCAGGAAGATGCCCTCAGGAAGATGCCCCCAGGAAGATGCCCAGGAAGATGCCCCAGGAAGATGCCCTCAGGAAGATGCCCTGCCCTCAGGAAGATGCCTGCCCTCAGGAAGATGCCCCCAGGAAGATGCCGGAAGATGCAGGAAGATGCCCCAGCCCTAGGAAGATGCCCTCAGGAAGATGCCCCAGGAAGATGCCCCAGGAAGATGCCCCCAGGAAGATGCCCTCCCTCAGGAAGATGA